ATTCATTTTGACTGACATGACATAAGCAAATGGAAATGTCAAAAAACAGCAGAGAAATGTATGAAAGCAACTGATACATGTCCAAAATCATTTGCAGTTTGTTCAGAGAAAGGAGAAATTGCTACTATGATGTGCACAAATGACTAAATGTTGTGGAGGTTGAACTAATAGTTATGAGAATTTTAATTCTGATCTGAGAAACGCACCAAAGCGACTGAGAAAAACTGTAAAGCGTTTACATGCATAAACAGTTTTTTTTAAAAGACATCAGTCTACTTCGAGCAAAAGTTTGGTTTTCTGATGTGCATGTAAACACAGTAACTGGTAGAGTCACGTTGCTGTTAGCCAATCATAAGGGATAAGCCTGAATACCAGGAATGTTAGTAAGACTACAATTTCAATCCCCCACCTCCAAGTAGAGCTCCAGATACTTGAGAAGCTCAGGCAGAATTCCGACTTTGTGACAGATGGTGCACCAGCACTTTATTCCTTTTGAATTTTTCCACTGTTCATACAAAAAATAAGTGCAGGTCAAATTTGTCTTTTTTTAAATATCTGTTACAATCCATCTGCTTTGCAAGACAAACTATTCTCCACCAACTGGCTCACTGTAATTACTACAGAATGCAAAGAAGACTTTTTTCCCACAAAAATGTGAACAGAAATCTCTGCTAAGGATGGTTTGGATACACTACAGAGCCTCCAGGTCACATTTACTCATATTTATCTTCCCTTCAGAATTAATTTGATTGGCTTTCTTCTTGTTCAGGAAATATTTGTTTTGTCTTGAGTTTATTCACAGTTCCAGTTTGATCGTCTTTTTATCCTTCATTATTTTGGGAGAAGCCGTCTCAGTGTGTGTGAAAAAATGTTGTCTGTAAGCATTCAGGGTTTTAACAATGTAGTTAGAAAGATTTTTGAGACATTATTTTTGTATTTAATTAAACAATTTCAGGAAAACATTTTTTTCTCAGTTTTTTTCTTATTGTAAAATGTGTCAAACTGTATTAACCTGAGAAAAGCGTTAGAAATTTGTAGCATTCACAGTTTTTTTCTCCTGTACACACGAGTGAGTTGCATCATTGATCTTTGATGAATACCAACCTCAGTAACTACAATCTCTTGGACTGTAATGATGTCTGACTTCCATGTGTCAGCTTTTTTATAAGTCATGAACACACATCACAGCAGGCTGCTGGAGGAGACAAACTTGATCTAATCATCAAACTCTCAGTTATTTATATACATAAATAAGCTAAAGACTTCATTGATTTGGCTCACTTTTATTTGTAGCACTATATTTCCCACACATCGTCATGCTATTTTGTTTTATTTCTGAAAAGGTGATGAGAAAAGTCTTATTTTTCCTACTGTCACCTGTCTTGTACTGAAGTCTGTAGTTTATTTGGTCTCTGCAGCAAAAGCCCACATTAGGGGAGGTAGTCGATATCCATCCACAGCATGGGGTCCAGTGGTGATTGTAGACTATTGGTGCCAACAGACTGTAACTTCTGATTCTTTGCACACTGAGTCTTACCAGGGAGCTTAATTGGGTGCACTTGGTGGTCATTTAGCAGATATTTACTCATCTAAAACTGGATTCAGAAAGTTACTCCAATAGTAAATTCCACATACTTAATTCTGTAGTTTAAAATTTTTAACAAGCATCCCTCATAAGGTTTTTTCCAGGAATAATACTCAGCCTAAAACAGCTCTGTACATTGTGGTTTGAGTCAGCCCATCTGAGTATAGTTTTGTTCCCATGCCAGCTCCATGACAGATAGTGTGTGCGCCCCTCATAGGTAGAGGCGCACCCATGTTTTCAGTCAAGCCCCAAATGTTTTTTTTGTCTTTTTTTCACTCATCAGCCACAGGCTACTCTCTGTCCGTCACAGCAAGCCGGGCTTGCTACCGTGACTCACACGTCTCCTCTAACATTTTAAGTTACAGCTTCACCGGTGTGATTTTTCCGTTTAGGTGCAGAGATGAGCCAAATCCCTCCCCTACATAACCAGTTTACATGTACAGAAGCCAGGAGAGGCCAAAATTCCCCAAACGTTTTTTATTCTACTGGTTGATATGAATAAAAATTGAGATTCCAGCCATGATTGCTTTGATAACTTTAAAGACTTTGTGTTGAAGATCCACATGAATTGTGTAGTGGATGAAATTACATCATGAGACGGATGGACGGACAGACAGATAGATGAATAAAAAAAGCAATGAACCATGTAAAACACAATAACCTGCAGTCTTTTTGTGATCCAGATTTAGATCTGATCAGATTCCTTTAGTTGTAATTCCTTTAGTTGGCTAATTTGGTTTAGTCCTGCCTTGTCCTCGTTGCCTGAGCTGCAGGTGTAATGGCACCTGGTGGGCTTGTGTTTTGACTCTGGTCTTTGAAGGGTGCCTATGAAGCTCCACATTTTTTGTACCAAGATTGAGGACATCCATCCATCCATGTGTGTGTGTGTGTGTGTGTGTGTGTGTGTGTGTGTGTGTGTGTGTGTCTGCTCTGTCTTCTCCATCCCCAGTGAGTCGTGGAAGATGGCTGCTTATACTGAGCGAGGATTCTCTGGAGGTTTCTTCCTGTTAAAAGGGAGTTTTCCTCTCCACTGTCGCTGCATGCTTGCTTAGTATGAGGATTGCTGTAAAGACTCTGACACTAGTCAGTGACTCGATGCAACCTGCTGGGTTCCTTATATAGGTAACTTTTTACTAATTGGCTTAATGAACTGAACCGTATTGGAACGTTTACTGTGTGAAGTGTTTTCTGTTTGGCACTAAATAAACTTGAATTAAATTGAACTGTGTAACTCCGGTCTTACAAGCTCTTCACTGGCTCCCGATCACTTACAGGATTCAATTAGAAAGGCTACTGCTCTGTTTTAAGGCACTACACGATTTGGCCCCTCCCTATCTGTCGGAACTCTTAAACACTCATGTCCCCAAAAGAAACTTGCGACCTTCCTCTCTACATCTCTTATCTGTTCCCCAGTCTAGGCTGAAGTCCAGAGGCAACCGATCTTTTTCTGTGGCCACTCCCAAACTCTGGAACAGCCTTCCCTTACAGATTAGGTCTGCCAACAGCCTTTCTACTTTTAAGTCTCTTTTAAAAACCGACCTTTTTACCTTACTTAAAAAAAAAACTGATTTCTTCGTTCATTTATTTTAAATAGGGTCTACTAGATGTTTCTCAGTGTTTTATCATTTTATTTTACTGGTTGTCTGTGTACAGCACTTTGTGCAATCTCTGACTGTTGGAAATGTGCTAAAAAAATAAACTTGACATTGACATTACGTGTGGGTGTGAGACGTGAGTGAACTGGGTTGGTGTGTCGACGTGAGCGTGTGGAGAGATCAGCTGACAGTTAGCTAAGCCAATGGGGCATTTCTGGATGGATTGATGTCGCCGTTGTGAATTTGCCACAGTTGTGAGTACACATCATGTTTTTGTATGTTGAAGAGTGGGTGCATGATGAAACTAACGTTGTTTTCATAACAGCGATGCCCCTGCTGTTCAATTATTTGGTTCAAATTTGTCACTCCAATTCTTTGTGTTGTTTGAGTGCTGGTTCAATAAGTCAGTAAAAGTCTGAACTACTTTGACTACTACTACTGGGAGAGCTGGTGTGTTCTTTCAAGTATATTTAAACAGCTGCACTAGTCAAACCCTCGGGTTACGGCTTTATGGGCTTTTAAGTTGTTTTAAAGTTTTTTTTCCCTTGGATTCAGTCCATGATCGTTCTTTGTGTTACTATTTGCATAATTTTGTTCATCATTATTTGTCCCTATTAATGTTTGTTTATTTGGGGAAGAGGGACATTTGATTAGATTTTTGTGGATAGAATATTTAATAAAGAATCTGTAGTTTTGCATACCTGACTCAGTTCTCCCTGCATGTAATTTATAATCCTTCTTAGAGGTCTGCAAGGTATCTGGTCATGTGTACAGGCCCTTAGTTTTACTCAGTTTCACCACAGATATAAAGTTGTTCAATGTAGCAAAGCAAAAAGAGTCAGTGGTAGAGGTAGACTGCTGTTGGTCATTCAGAGGTGAGATGTTCAAATATCAGAAAATCAGAGTACAAAACTGTCTGTCCCAACCCCCAAACTAGCCAGTTTATTATTATGTAAAAGATGGTGGCTATGCTGAATTTCTTAGATTCAATTTTTTTTTCAAGGATACCTTTGCCAAGGTGCTCTTCTGAATAAGGTCATGCAATGGGAAAGATCCCACATGTCCAAAAGTGGCACCACGGAGGGAATTCTTGACATTGATGTAGAGAATTCAACACAATAAGAGAACCTAGTGATGGATTACATTAAGATTACTTACTGTAAATTTTATTAAAAGTTTTATCATTTTTTCACGTGTTTTTATATGTTTTCACATATAAACCTGTTTCATATTTCTTTTCTTTACTTCTTTTTTGTTTTTACCTCTAGAGAGAAATAAAGTGGAGACAAATACTACTTGGCACACCAAGCTTTAATTACAAAATTTAATATCAAAGCAAAAAGGAATGTGAAAAAAAAGCAAGTGTGATCATGCACATCTACATTTCTTTGTCAAATAAATCTGATGTTTTCATCTGAAAAAATAATACAAACTAACTTGTAAAAGTACATCAGGTTTAGATATCATAATGTTCAGCAACTAACGTGTATGTCCAAACCTGCAGATAATTTTGTAAAAGGTCAACAAACAGAAATGACCTTATCCCGAGTTAAGTGGTGCCTACCTCAGACATTTGTACAGTAGAAAGTTCCTCTTGAGGTATAAATGCACAGATGACTGATGGTATTCACCCTAAAGAAACTGAAGTTTAAGTAAAACTCAATGATAACTCTGTTAGTTTTATGCCTTTGTTTTCTTCTTACTCTGATATATACTTTTGGACAACAATAAAAAAAAAGAAACACCTCAATGAATAATTTCAGGAAAGATTTAAAAGTTGCTTGTTCTAAAATATATATTCTGATCTTTCTTTCTTCCAGGATATTTGACAGTTACCATAGAGCCCCTGCCTCCTGTTGTTGTGGGTGAAACCGTTACCCTTAAGTGTAACTTCAAAACTGATGGAAGGCTGCGGGAGATTGTTTGGTACAGGGTGAGTAAACCTGCCTACACTGTCAAAGCCATTAGGCTTTGTATTCATATCAGTGTTTTATACAGTATTAAGTCAAATCTTATAGTCATATAACATGTGCATGTCTGCATTAGAAGAACAGTAATGCACCATTAGACCACACTATTTACATGGGAAGCTGTCATTTGGCCCAGCTGTCATGAATGCATGAAACAATAGTTAGATTTAGCAAATTACTGGTCATCACTATTATTTCTTAAATATTCACATCTGCTAATTAATTAAATCCTAGTTGTCCAAGTGCCACTATTAATTAAAATAATGTTAAAAGAGAAAAATGGATTTAAAATACTGTTTTATTTAAAAAACCAGGAATGTTTTGAATTCTGCATCACCATTAAGAATGCAATCTGCAGAAAGACTACAGTTCAGAGAGAGGACATTTGTTTCACTTCAAGAGCACCACTGATGAGCTCTTGAAGTGAAAAGCAGAGGCAGCTGCTGTGGCTACATCCTTCTGCAAGCCTTTGTTTTTGACAAAAACTCTCCAATCATTCTTGAGAGCTTTGCAGATTTGCGTCAGACTTTTCACGTTAGTGAAGCTTCTGAATGGTGATTGGTGATTGTAGGAGGCTACAGCCAAATTGTACACACTGAAAATGTTATCAACATTGCCTAAGAGTCTTTTGTAAAATGTGCGCTTGCTTGGTGTTGTGTCATTTTTGTTGCTTGAGATGCAGTAATGAGTGATGAGCTTCCAAACAAGCAAGTACTCAGACAGATGTATTGCAAAGGTGACTTTGCTGAGCTCTAGTATTCATCCAACTTTTAAGGAGGCTGGATTCGAACTTCCAGCACAATGGATGCTTCATGTTGGACCATTTTATTGACTTTTAAACAATAATTTAAAGCTGGGGGCCGTAACATGACATCATGGACAGGAGGAGGAGATTTTGAAATGTTGAAAGCTATAACTGCCTCTCCCCTTCTGGAAGGAACTGAAAGGCCACGCCTCATACACAAATAGCCTTGCAGTGATAACAGACAAATACTGGTTTTGATATGTTCCTGCTCTAGCACGTCTGTTCTGAGCTGTTAACATAAATTACTGTAAAGTGTCAATGGTTCTTGTGAGATTTGTGACTTAGCAAGAATTCAGGTCACCTGTCCGGAGAGACTCAAGTTGCATATGTTCTATTCAAGAAGTAGAGGGGGATGAGGGACTTTTTTTCACCCTGTAAAGAGTGATTTTAGCACCCACTGCCTCAAGAAAAGGATCAAAAAATTTATTTGTTAGTATACCTTTAATAATTTTTTTTTCAGTGCTGACATAATTGTGTCTGATTTGTCTTTATTTGTTTTATTATTCATCTTTTCTGAAAGTTGCATTCATGTAATGAAGTAAAACTGATCAGTATAAAACATTCAATACTGTTATCTTCACAAGCATAAAAGCATTTTGCTCGAATATTCGTTATTGGAACAAGCAGCAAGTCACACAAATGAGTGTAAAATTTGTATAAATGACACTAACCACGGATAACTAAAACTGCACAGCAGCCTGTGGTGACTCTGGTTTCCCTACTTCAACATCAAACAATTAAAAAAAAACATTTAATATGTAACTCAGACATTTGTAAACTTGACTCCGTATTTTCAATTTTTAGTTGAAGTTTTTGTGTATTTGGAATTATCATGGCAAATGCTGACTTTTCACAGTCGGACAAAGAGATTTATGGCGTTTTGCACACTCACCTTAACATCGTAGATCATTTTCACTGCTGTGACAATTTTATTTAATCAAGCTGGGTTTGTATTGTGCTTTGTTTTTTATGCTATGTCAGCAGTTTGCATGGATATCAAGTTTAAATAACCACTTTGAGAGCTGAGCTGCCTCATGAGGAAAGAAAAGAGGTTGGAGATATGCCCCAAGTCTCAGGTGGCCACTGCTCAGCACAGCTGATGAATTATAAATCAATTACCCACGCTTGGCTGCCAAAGTTGCTTTAATCTCTGCCTTTTATTTGACTAAATACTGTTGACTCCTGATTTCTATCTCCTGTTCAAACGGACACGGGGGCAATACTCACCTGGGGAGTCCTCTATCTAATCGAAGCTCGGCCAGTCACATGAAGGGCGACAAAAAACTAGATGTTTTTAAAAGAGCTCATTAAATTTTTATTTCTGTGACTTGTTCTGTTTTAGTTTTTTGAAGCAAAGACCTCTCAGACCTCTGTGGAAATGAACTAATTTTAGCAAAAGTGAAGAGAAAACAATTTTGCTATGTACCCAGCCAGCATGCATTGGTGGGCCCCATGTGGATACATAGGATGAAACTGTATGGGTGCCAACAGGGCCTGTCTGCGGTTTCGATGGCAGCCCCACAGGAGTTTGCCCACATAATTTTAACAAGCCCATGTATGACTTATCCATCACACATGCGCAAGTTAGCGTAAGTCTATGGTAGAGATTGCTGCACCCAAAAGTAACTGGAAATATGTCGCAAGACGATTCGGTAGTGGTAAAGGTGTAAATAACATTTTCAAACAAAACAAATGCAGATTATAAACAGGACTTGTAGTCTGTATAATCTATAGATCATTCCGTTGGAGCTCCCTAGTTGGGATGCTGCCCCCGCGACCCGGACCCGGATAAGCGGAGGAAGACGACGACGACGACGACGACGACGACGACGACATTCCGTTAATTTTTTTTATCTCAAATTATTAAAAAAGAGGTAATTTCACATGTACTCTTCCATATTCCTAATACATAAAATAAGACAATATGGAAAAAAGAAATTATACAAACTGAGAAGAAAAAAAACAAACAAAAAACAAACATGCAATAACATAAAACCGTTTCGAGAGGGGACTGGAAGAAGCAAAAGCTTATCTAGTCCGGCCCTAGTTCAGTTAATTCAATAACTAACTGCTCACATAAACCAAAACCATTTTTTCTTCATACAAGTTCTTCTGTCATCACCTTGCTCCATAAGTACAGTAACAAAATAATTGTTCACATAAATCCACAGAGAGGTTGTTCTTTTATATTTTGTGACTCCTATTATCTTCATCTTCTTCTTCTTCTTCCTGTAAGACTGGTAGGGTGGTGCCCTAGCACCCCCTATGGAAGAGCTGCCACTGCCACCTATGCATGTTGACTGAATTTTATTATTGCAATGAATTTTTCAACATTTTTTTTTCATATCCCACTGATCCCCTGAAGCCCCAGTGTGTACTATTTTTACCTGTTGACTATCAAATCCTGTGTTTCCAGTTCTCAAACCTATCCTTTTTCGTTAATATTTCTCACCAACATCAATTCTAAATATTCCTCTCAGCTTGAAATTGTAAAGAAAAAATGCCTTGTTGATGCTAGAGGAATGCAGAGAATGGCCCGACTGACTCAAGCTGATAGAAGTGCAACGTTGACTGAAATAACCACTCGTTACAACCATAGAGTGTAGCAAAGCATTTGTGAAGCCACAGCAAGCACAACCTTGAGGCGGATGGGCTACAACAGCAGAAGACCCCACCGGGCACCACTCATCTCCACTACAAATAGGAAAATAAGAGGCTACAATTTGTATAAGCTCACCAAAATTGGACAGTTGGACTGGAAAAATGTTGCCTGGTCTGATGAGTCTCCATTTCTGTTGAGACATTCAAATGGTAGAGTCAGAATTTGGCGTAAACAGAATGAGAACATGGATCCATCATGCCTTGTTACCACTGTGCAGGCTGGTGGTGGTGGTGGTGTAATGGTGTGGGGGATGTTTTCTTGGCACACTTTAAGCCCCTTAGTGCCACTTGGGCATGGTTTAAATGCCATGGGCTACCTGAGCATTGTTTCTGACCATGTCCAGCCCTTCATGACCACCATGTACACATCCTCTGATGGCTACTTCCATCAGGATAAGACACCATGTCATAAAGCTCCAATTATTTCAGATTGGTTTCTTGAACATGACAATGAGTTCACTGTACTACAATGGACCCCACAGTCACCAGATCTCAACCCAATAGAGTATCTTTGGAATGTGGTGGAACGGAAGGTTCGTGCCATGGATCCCACAGATCTCCATCAACTGCAAGATGCTATCCTATCAATATGGGCAAACATTTCTAAAGAATGCTTTCAGCACCTTGTTGAATCAATGCAGTATAGAATTAAGGCAGTTCTGAAGGTGAAAGGGGGCCAAACACCGTATTAGTATGGTATTCCTAATAATCCTTTAGGTGACTGTAGATTTTCAGCCACATCGCCCATTCCTAGTACTCACAACTGAATATTGGACAATAAAGTATTATTATAGGATGTTTGATTTCTTCCTCTCCATCCACATATGATGCAATGGTCACCAAAGATCACAACCCTGCCATCTTCTGGTGTAAATCCATAATTGCAGTCTCCTGAAAATCCGAACATTGGAATGACAAGTAAATGTATAAATGTGTCACATATTTCACATGTTTATGAATATTCAGGTTGGATATTTGTGGTCTCAGTACTGACCAAAACTATATAAAGTGTGAATTCTTCCCCTATAGCAGCAGTTATGATAATTTCGTCTTTAGCTAATTTATGTTGACTTGTATTTCTCTTAAATAGGTGAATATCGTGTTGAATTCAGCACAGAAAGATTAAAAATACAAGTTTGCCGTAATTATAATAATGAAATGGGCTAAAATGGACAAACCTAGATGATGAAAATGAACCGGAGAAGCAGCTCAACTAGCAGACAGAGCAGTGGCACAAATCTGAGGGAGGATGTAAGTGAGGGGAGGGAGAGAGGACCCCAAAGGAATTTTGTGAGAGAGAACAGAAGAATTCTGTTAGAGGCAGGAGAGGAGAGGACAGGATGGGTGGACAGAACAGAGAAAGTTGAGCTCATGGCTAAAATGCAACAGTGCAGAAGAGCCCTAGACAAGCTGTAAAACATACACCACCTGCTCCACAAATGCCCCCCTGGTAGAAGTTCTATGTGTTTCTGTTCATTAGAATGACATGAATTAAAA